CCATATGGCTGCATGTGGATGTGTGTGTTTTATGACCATGTAAAGAAATAACCTTTACAGAGATTCAGACTTGTTCATTAATCTAGCTGTCCTGTATAATTAAATACATTATTTCGATTATGTAATCTTAAAAATCCACAGGGTTTAATCCCAGCAGAGGCAGGCAGATCTCTGTGAGATTGAGGCCAGCTTAAAAAAAAAGGGGAGAGAAAAAAAAAAAAAAAACCAAACCAAAAATCTACAAGTTTGTATCATGTAGACAGCAATTTTGGCTAATACAAAGTACACGTACAATGTATATTCAAAAGACAGAGTCGGGGGCTGGAGACATGGCTCAGGGGTTAAAAGTACTGGCTGCTCTGCTGAGGACCTGGGTTTGGTTCCCAGCACCCAATGGCGCCTGACATCTCTCCTTAACTCCAGTTCCAGAGGGTCTGACACCCCCTTCTGACCTCCACAGGCATTGCATGACATGGGCACACTTACAGACGTGCAGGCAATACACTCATACACATAAAATAAAAATAAATAAAATATTTTTAAGAGAGAGCGAACTGTTTTGTTGGCACATGTATTTGTCAGTCTGACCCATGACCTTTCTGCACTTAGTTTATTGTTGTGGTGCTGTGGCTCCAACCCAGAGCCTTGCAAGTGCTAGGCAAGAGCTTGACCGCTGAGCTGCTTCCTCAGCCCTGGATTTTGCTTTATGTAATAGATTCTGCTATTCGTGTGCTATTAGGGAAGAGATGCTAAAAAGGGAAACTATGATGTAAGTTTGGGTATTAGAGAGTTATCTAAGTAAATGAAATTACTACTAACCCCTCCATGTCTTTTTAACCGAAACAGCTGTCTTCTCCCCTACCCGTGTTGTTAGAGCTAGTGAGCAGTAGGACTAACAAAATTGGCTATGCTTTCCTCCCTTCCTTCATCTGTGTGGGACCGGGAGGCAATAATGATCAATGTAACCAGAAGTGGGGAGTAAACAAGATGAGTATTCCCAGGATGCACATGAAGCTTTGGAACGCTAGAGCAAGAAAATTAGCCAGAGATTAAGATATTTTAAGATATTTCCTGTGCCTGGCCGAAGGGAATCTGCTCTTACAGCTGTGTATAGATGTCCCCCAGCATGAAGGAAACTGTGTTGACACCCTTGCATTTAGGGAGGTGGTTTACCCCCAAACGCTGAACACCTGTCTCATTAAAAACTGTATTCTTCTTCTCCTTCTCCTCCCCCTCCTTCCTTTCTCTTTCTTTTTCTTTCGTGGTGTCACATGTATGAGTGTGCAGGTCCACAGGCATATGTGTGCAGGTAGGTACACATAGAGGCCACAGATCAATTGTTCCCTCCTCTCCCTCCTTCTCCTCCTCCCCCCTCCTCCTCCTCCCCCTCCTCCTCCTCCTCCTCATTATTTTTTTTTTATTCATTTTTTTTATTGTGTATGCACATCTGTGAGCACATGTGTGGAGGTCAAAGGACAGCTTTGTAGAGCTGGTGCTTTCCTTCCACCTTTATAATAACATGGGTTCCTGAGACTGAACTCAGATTGCTAGGCTTGCATGGCAAGCCCCCTTTATCCACTGAGCCATATTGCAGGCTTCCTGTCTCTTTATATGGCTGATGTGAAGGTTTGGGTCTGTTTATTTGAGCAGCAATTGAACAGAGCTCATCAATGTTGAATCTATATTACAGCATTTAACTTTAAAGATAAATTACTACCAGGCGTGTAGCACACACCTTTAATCCCAGCACTTGGGAGGCAGAGGCACGTGGATCTCTGTGAGTTCAAGGCCAGCCTGGTCTACATAGTGAGTACATAGTGAGGCCAGCTGGAACTACAGGAAAACCCTGTCTCAAAAATCCAAAAAAAAAAGGGAAAAACTTATTAATAAAAATTAGTGGTTAAAAATAAATAAATAAAAATTAGAATATGTTGTATTTATCCATCATCAATTAGTTGCATTCTAAGCACATTCCCATGTCATGTATGTATACTTACAAAACTTGAGAAAACTGACTAAATATTGCTAGTGACAAAAAAAATTAAAAGTTAAAACTTAAAAAGTAATCCCAGCACTCAGCCAGGCAGAGGCAGGCAAACCTCTGTGAGTTCAAGGCCAGCCTGGTCTATATAGCGAGTTCTAGGTCAGCTGGGGCTACAGAGAGACCCTGTCTCAAAAAACAAGAAGAAGAAGAAGATAAATTACTGACAGCTGCTATTGGAAAATTATTATTATTTAAACATTAGGATAGAGTTAAATGATTAAGAAGTAGAAAGCATTGGAAATTTTAATGTTAGGCCAATCATCATTTTA